TGCAGTATATACATATATTAAATCATTGTGTTGTACACCTTAAACTTACAGTGTTATGTCAATTATTTCTCAATAAAACTGGAACTAATGAAAAAAACCCGTATTTATTAATAGTGGAAAAAAAAAGCATAAATCAAATACAGGTGGTGGCATTAAGGTGGCAGTAGAGTCCAGGGGTCATGTTTCCTTCTAGGGACCAGTCTGTAATAGGAATGAACAAAACAGCCCTGTGGCGGGGAGAGGTGTATACAGTGGCACATCTGGAGCTCAAGCTCTGCCTAAAAGGGCATTCACTGCTCCTCATTCAGTGCCAGGCAGTAATGTGAGCCCATATTCCCAGAGAACCCAGACATCTGGCATTTTCATTGGGTCACCGGGGGGTATTTCCCAAATTTTAAGTATGGGAGCTAATTCAAAGATTTAAAAAACAAACAAACAAAAAAAAAAAACCACATAAAACATACCTGCAAGCCAGATGCATCCTGGGAGCCATCAGTTTGCAACCCTGCTGTTGAGATTTGCATCTTTAAAATTTGCTGTGACTATTATAAATGAAAACTTAAAAATAACTCTGGGCCAATAATAAAATCCAGAATCCTGGGTGGGTTGAACTTTTTAGCTCCTCTACAGATGGGTGGGTCTTCAGAATGCAGAACTGCTGCACCCGTCTGGACATGTGGGAATGTGAGCTTGAGCACTCAGGTAGATGGTTTTCCAAATGCCAGCTTCACAGTCAGGAGATCACCTCAGAGGAGAACCATTCTAAGTAGTCTCAGAGACAAACATCAGTCCCCCAGTGCAAGGATTACCTCTTTGATCAAGACTAGTCAGTCAAGACCAGTCAGTTAAAGGAAAGCGCTGCTTGAAGCCAGTATGGGAAAGAAAGCTTAAAAACTTGTGGGCTTGGGCTTGGAGTGCCTGGCTGGCTCAGTTAGTAGAGCATGTGGGTTTTTTTTTTGTTTTTGTTTTTGTTTTTTTTTGAGAGGGAGAGAATCTTGAGCAGGCTCCACACCCAGTGTGGAGCCCAACATAGGGCCTGATCTCATGACCATGAGATCATGACCTGAGCCAAAATTAAGAGTTGGACACTCAACTGACTGAGCCACTCAGGCACCCTGAGCACATGTGACTCTTGATCTCAGGGTCTTGAGTTCAAACCTCTCATCCAGCACGGAGCCTACTTAAAAATAATAAAAATTAAAAAAAAAAAAAAGGTGTGGGCTCAACTCTTAATCAGGCCCCTGGTTCACTAAACTACCTCAGATTAACTGAAGAGAAAAAAGATTTTATAATTTATCTCAGAGCCTGATAGTTGTCACTATTTTAACAGACATAGCCATTGATCACATATGTTATTTCTCAAATAGAACTTTGTGTCAGACTTTGCTTTTTGGGAAAGTGAATTTACAATTATTAATGTCCTTCCTTCCACTCCTATGTGCATATTAACTGGCTAACCTGTCTCTGCTCCTTATTGAAAAGTGTGCATTTATTAGGATTCACTTGTAACTGTTATTCTTTCAGACATTCAGAAATAACAGGGTAGTAGCTACACTTATTTACATTGCTTATTTTTCGTGACAAACCAAGTGATAAGTTAGCTCAGTTGAGTCAGTTGGGAAACAGGCTCAGCTATAACATCCTTTTTTGTTATTGTTTTCAAACAGGTAATATCTCTTTGCCAAAGCAGGATGAACAACAGCCCTTTTCACACAACTGACTAGCTATTCATGGAGGCCCAAAGATAGTATTTTGTTACCACGAACACAAATATTTCCACTTTCTTCGGTTACCTGAAAAAAAACTGATGTTTAAGTGATTTTTAGTAACTAACTCTCTGAAGACAACATTGGGAAATATCTAGCCAAAACAAGGCAATGAGTTCCTGCTTCTACTGGAAGTAAAAGGTACTGTCACTTTCTGAGGAAATGAATCAAATATTTATTCACACACTGTTCAGTATAGGTTATTCTCCTTTATCTCCTCCCAAAACGGTGGTCTACCAAACTGTACGTAAATCGGTTTTTCTATTTACGTAACTATTAGACAGTGTTATCTGATCGCCATATGACAACCTGTGTTGTACTTTTCAGTTACTGTTTCTGTCATCTAAGAAACCTTGTATCTTTACCAAACAAACTCAAATTTGTTCCTGGGTACCCACTTTATTCAGAGCAGAAGGCTAACTTTCTCCTAATGTCTGAAGAGTGTTCAAAGTAGACTCTACAGCTTGGGAACTCCTAACCTACAATCATCCACCATCCCACAAAGTCATTACACTCAAAATGGATACTAGCCATAGCTATGGTTTTTCTGAAAAGAACTTACAATAAAAATAGCCCTGGAATAGCTAACAGTACTATATCGAACACTAAAAATTTGCTAAGAGGGTAGATACTATATTAAATGTTCTTACCACAAATAAATCTTAAAGAAGTAGGGAGGAGACTTGGGGAGGTGATGGATATGGTTATAGCTTTGACGGTGTTCCGGTATACGCTTAACCCCAAACTCATTGATTCGTATACATTAAATAAGTACAGCCTTTTACATATCAATCATACTTCAATAAAGTGGCTTTTTAACAAAAAGACCCAGGTCTGGAACAAAGTAGCCTCCCTGTCCCCACCACGATTACTGAATTGAGTAGAATCCAAGATACTGGAGTTTTTTGATTTTGTGTTTTAAGAAGGCTCAGATACCAAAGTTAAGTAAAACAGATTGAGGGATAAAAGTGATAGAAGCAAAAATTAAAGAGATTTTTCCCCCCTCCAAACCGCCAGAGTTGGTTTTAAGAATTTTCCAGTGATCTTTATGCTGCTTCCAACTTTAAAAGGTCTGTTTTATTCTTCTCATTCCTTTGCCCTATCTTAAATGCTCCTTTTTTCTTTAAAGTGGCTTCATTTAGGGGCACCTAAGTGGCTCAGTTGGTTAAGCATCCGATTCTTGGTTTCGGCTCAGGTCGTGATCTCACAGCTTTGTGATTCAAGCCCCGCATCGGGCTCTGCACTGGCAGCACAGAGCCTGCTTGGGATTCTCTCTCCCTCTTCCACTCACGCTGTGTGCCTCTCTCTCAAAATAAATAAACTTAAAAAAAATTTTTTTTAAATAATAAAGCACCTTCATTTATAAACTTGGCCTTCAATTATAAGCCTGAACCAACTCCTGGGATTGAAATTTTCAAAACCATTATCATAGCAACTATCTTTGTCCCCAAATAAAGTTATCCACTCCTGCTCCTTACCAACTGGGTGCAGCTGCCACTACAACTCAATGACTTTTTTTTTTTAAATCAGTGTGCCTATTTGGTGAAATCTATTAACTTAATCAAGGACAACCACACATGTCAATTACTAAACGTTTAAAATATATTTCTAAACAGAATGGGCCGACTCAGTCACAGTAACTGCTGATCTCCATAGTAGAGCAACCCACAAAGACACAGCACTGATTTTTTTCCCATAATCAGGGGTGAAAAATATACAACTTATTTCTGAACCAAAACCACAATTTCTGCAGTTTATAATGTTTCACTGCCAATATGGCCCTGGTAGAAATTATGTATTTTATTTCCTTAAAAAAAAAATTAAAAAAATTTCCTAAGACACTAAATCATCAATCTGGAATGTAGATTCTGAGCACAAAGAGCTCAGTTCACCTAAAAAATAAAGAAAAATTTCCCATCACCTGTCTCAGTAGGGCCTGAAAGGAGAGAAGTAGTGTGGGGAACCCCTGCTTTGGTATGGAGAGTCACGGCCCCTTGACCCAGAACGAGACCGTGAGTAGCCATAGCTGGTGCTTCTCTCTGGATAAACTCGGATGTAGGAAGTTTCACCCTGAAATTCAAACAAAAAGAGTGAAGGAAAAAATAAGACTCAGAGAAATACAGCACACTAAAACTTAACATGGCTGCCTAACAATAATAGTTAAGTACCAAGCACTTACTGTTTGTCTGGCATGATGTCATCTCATTAAACCTTCACAACAATGCTATGCCCTAGGTAGGTTTACCAGCACATTTCAACAATGAGGAAAACAATGTTATAATCTATTCCAGGGTGACACATACAATAAATGACAACTTCACATGTTGTAAATGAGCTGAAATACTAGCTACTACGATTAACATATCTGAATTACTACCACTGACTCCTGAATCTAAGAACTGGAAAGAATCTCAGAGGTCGCTCAGTTCAATTCCCTGCCACCTCATATATGCGTTTGAGGATGGGTTCCTATGGAAGAAGCTAACCAGTATTCAACACCTCTCAGGTGTCAGGACCAGGGTTAGATACTCGTAAGTTAGCTTCCTGGCAAGTCTTATGAGACAGTGCTATTATTGTTCCTGTTTTGCATATCGAGGGACCAAAGTTCAGAGAATAACTCTGCTAAGAAATAAATGAGTGAGTGGCAGAGGAGTCATGTCTAGGCTGGCCTGTGTTCAGGCCCTTTGCCCTCAGCCAACACTCTCAAAGGATCTAAAGATGCTAAGATGAAAGAAGTCAGATGTGGAATTCCCTAGGTAAAGTCAGTAATTGGATTTATCCTTACTGAGACCCTGCTTTGCAGTGTAACTAAGGACCAGATGTTTTGTTTCTGCTCCAAATTCAGTCTGAGTAAAAGCAATGTTAAGCTGTGTACTTTCCAAGCCATAAAATTAGGGAATTATATGAATCCTTAGAAAAAGAAATAGATCCTTGGGGCTCCTGGGTGATTCAGTCAGTTGAGCGGTCAACTCTTGATTTCAGCTTAGGTCATGATGCCAGGGTTGTGGGTTCAAACCCCAAGTCCATGCTCAGTTTGGAGCCTGCTTAAGATTCTCTCCCTCTGCCCCTCTCCCTCACTCGTACTCACTCGCTCTCTAAAAAAAGGAAGGAAGAAAGAAAGGAAAGAAAGAAGGAAGGAAAAGGAAATGGACCCAGAAATTCATATCTCCAGACATCTAAATCCCATAAGTCAGGACAATATAACCAGTAAAAAAAGAATGTCCAGTTGTTCTGCTCTCTGGTCTCAATGGTATCAAAAGGACAGTCAACATGTGAATCAGATAGAAAGATCCAAAGTAGCAGCTGCCTTCTTGAAAGACATCAAGAACTAAGTCTTGAGGGTAAGGCCATTATAAGAAAATGCCAAGATGGCTAAGGTTTCAAAGAGGATCCTGCACTACTTTGGGAAAGGAAAAATTAAGTGTACAACTTGGCCCAACAGCAGTACCTAGAAAAGCTGAGATGCTGAGGCTGGCTTGCAGAACCCAGACTAGACCCAGAGGAGGGACAACCATAATGATCAGGTTCACAGAGGTACACTGCAGATTAAACCAGCTGTGAAGGGAATGGTATCACAGAATAGCTCACCACATTATGACAGACTGCACCAGTATTCTCTCCGGGTTAAAAATACTATGACTGCAGATTTCTCTGTTATGACCCTGCAGGACTCAGGCATGATGAATTCCTTGGCTTTTCCACTTAAGACAGATCTTTAATGTACTGTGAGGTCCTCAAATGGCAAATGCATGGCCTGTTGCTACTTCTCTATATCAGCTTCAGGTGGAGTGGCCTGGGTGCAAGCTCAACAGAAGGTGGGAACCCACCTCATGAGAGCGGAATTTGGTGTCATCCAGTTTACGGAGGGCATATTCCATGTCTTCTTTTCGGAGATATTCCACCATCCCCATTCCATCCTTCTGCACATCTGCATAACAGACGTCCCCAGCTTCTCTCATGTGATCCTTCAGATCCTGCCAGCTGCCTGATGGAGGAAGTCCTAGGCATGGACAACATAAGAGGCCATATCCTTCAGCCATGTTAACTGACCTGTTAAGAGCCAGCAATACCTAGGGTCCCTTTCCCATCAATCACTCACTACTTTTAAATCCTGAGGATCCCCAAATCATAAACCGTAGGGACATAAATCCAGAAAAGAGTACTAAAGTATGTGTAGTAAACCACTGTAAGAAGCTGGTCCTAGGCTAATTTTCCAGAGACCAAGCCTTTCCAATGGAGCAAGAAGTCTACCCTATTATAAGTTTGATATCTCTGAGAGTCACAGCCTGCCTTTCTTTATCCTTCGTATTTAATATCAAACTCCCAAGACTTTGAGTTCTAATTTTTTTCCATTATGAAATTTATCAGTACCAACTGTTTCTTGCTTACTGGGTTCTCAGAACATAGGAATTTTGAAAGTATCCAATGAAGTAATAACCAAGGTGTAGCTGAAGGTAACAAGACACCAAAAAATCTAAAGTTTTTCTTGTAGTAGTGAATGACTGACAAATTAAACAAAGTACCTTTTAAAAGATCACCAACATTCTTCAATACAGTGGGGGAAAAGGTAAGACTCAGACGCTAAAACTAGTCGGGAATTATACAACCCTACCTGATGTCATGAAAGGGAAATGTGCTCCTGCTCTCAAAGGCTGTGTTTACCGCTCACAGCTCAGGACTGCAGCCATTTCCTAATAGTTTTCTAAGCAGGATTTCAGAGCAGCATGGAGAGAAAAAAAGATATGTATGACATCCTGAAGGAGGGAATAGAGTTCTGGGGTTAAATTACAAAGGGACACAAGATAGGCAGATACTGAGAGGATCACTGTTAAGCACCACGGGAGTCTGTTGTGACAGTGTGAAATTCCTATCTAAGAAAGTGCCAAGTTCTTCAATACATTTCACTCCACCATGGTCTTAAAATGCCCCTGTAATGTGCAGAGGGCCCCAGGTCTTCACCACTGTATTAATATTTTGAAAAGATGCATACACCTCTGAGCTTGCCTCAGATGCATACACCTCTGAGTTTCATCACTTGTGAACATTTCATTTAGACATTTCATTCTATATCATTCTATATTCTGCAAAACAATCCCTAAAACTTAAAGTTGTTTTGTTTTCTCTTTTGTATAATTCCAAAGCCACCACCAAAATCTGGTGTTTTTCACGATCCAAGGCTGAACAGTTATTCAAATCTGGCTCCTGGAATGTCTAGCAAATCTGAAACCTAGTACATTCCAAAAGAAAACATCTATAGAATTCTAGCTCCGGGGTTTTGCCATCATCTTCCCTCTCAACAGTAGGAAACTCCTTTATAAAAAGCAAATTTATGGGGACGCCTGGGTGCCTCAGTTGAGTGTCTGACTTCACCTCAGGCCACGATCTCACAGTTCATGACTTCAGGCCCCGCATCAGGCTTTGTACTGAGAGCACAGAGCCTGGAGCCTGCTTTGAGTTCTGTGTCTCCCTCTCTCTCTGCCCCTCCCCTTCATGCTGTCTCTCTCTTAAAAATAAAAATGAACATTAAAAAAAAAAAAAAGGCAAATTTATGTTCTACCAAGGCTGTACTACCAATGCAGTTTCATTTGCAAGATACCTGCCTGCCTCACTGGCAAGACTGCGGGGCTTCAGACGGTGCACAGTCTACTGAAAAGAAAGCCTGTGTTCCATGCAAAGTAACAGCTAACATTTCTTGGAGGCCAGACTGTGTGCTAAGTATTTTACATGCATCACCTTATTCGGTTTGAAAAGAACATACCTGAAACAAGAACTCGGAAATCAGATCTTCTTGTAGGAGGCCCATTCCTCCCACCGCGGGGCCACCCACCCCGACTGCCATAAGTCCTGGGGAACTCCACACGAAGCCGACACTGGCCATAATCATAACCATTCCTTCCATAAATTGCATCCTCAGCATCTCTGCAAAGAAAAGTTTGTGGAGTTAGTGCTGCTCAGGAGGCTGACTGACCTCCCAGTGAGGGGCATGAGTAACAAGTATAAAAGGGAAACCTAGAATTGAGAAAAACAATCTTGATGCACTACTGCTTTGAAGATACTTCATGGTATTAGATTTAAACTTTACAGCTGTCCCACACAGGGTTTTCTAGATATGAAATGATAATGAAACAGTAAACAGATTACTTATAAGAGGATTCATTCAGAAAAAAGAATTGGCAGATAAGTGATTTCATCAGTATATTTCTCTAACCCTGTTAGCAGTTTCTTAAAATGCCCTCCACACACTAGTCCTTTAATAATTAAGAAGGATTGGTACCATCAAATCTATAGAAAGAAAAATCATTTAGGGGCACCAGGGTGGCTCAGTCGGTCGAGCATCCGACTTCGGCTCAGGTCATGATCTCACGGTCTGTGGGTTTGAGCCCCGCGTCGGGCTCTGTGCTGACAGCTCAGAGCCTTGGAGCCTGCTTCGGATCCTGTGCCTCCCCCTCTCTCTGCCCCTCCCCCGCTCTCACTTTGTCTTACTCTGTCTCTCAAAAATAAATAAATGTAAAAAAAAAACAAAACAGAAAAAGAAAAGTAATTTAAAAAGAAATCAGGCTCTGGGGAGGAGCCTGGGTGGCTCAGTTAAGTGTCTGATTCTTGATTTCGGCTCAGGTCATGATCTCACAGTTGTGGGATTGAGCCCTATATCCAGCTCTGTCATGAGCGTGGAGCCTGCTTGAGATTCTCTCTCTGCCCCTCTATCCCACTCGGACTCTCTCCCTCTCTCAAAAATAAATTCATAAAAAAAAATCAGACTGAAATTAGTATTTTGTGAGGAATATGGAACTCTCTCGTGTACTTTTTCAGCATGGTTTGGAAAACTAAGTTGTGGAGACCACTCTCTGGGTACAGTTTTGCCAGAGAGGTAAATATTCAATGAAGTCACTTCCAGTCTTCCCTAGGGCTCTAGTAGAACCAAGCTGGTTCTCCAGCACTGGATTGGAGAAAGAATGGCCTCAGTGCTTCGAAGGACAAGCAGAGCCGAAGATGTACTAATGAAGGCATCATTCAGTTGTCACAGCACATAATTGCTTACCACAATTCTAGTCACCGAGTTAAAAGCAAGGACCACAACCAGTGCAAACCTGGCTATATTTATAATGAAGTGAAGGAGAGGCAGAACTGCTAGGGTTGAAGAGCAGATTTCAAAGCAGACTGACCAGTTCCAATCATTACCCTACTTACTAATAGCCGTCTTTGGGTAAGTGCTTTTATCAAGTTTTCATGTCTCTTAAATGCGAACAACATGCCTCCCTCACAGAGTTGTCCTAAGGATTAAAGAAGGTACTATGTGTGCAGTGCTCTAATGATATCAAAAGATAGCTTTTCTATTATGAAAGAAAGGAGGGAAGAGATGACAATGCAGCACATCACACAGGAAGTTTGTGTTCTAAAGGGCAGCACGGGGGGGGGGGGGGGGGGGGGGGGGGTTCAAATCCTACCTTGATCCCTTACTAGCATTCTCTTTTATCAGCAACTCTAAATCCCCAGTTTCTTCATTCATAAGATGTGGCTAACACTACCTCTTTTATAGGTTGTTGAAAACGCTCAAGTGGTACTTGACACATAGTGACTTCAAAAAACACACCGG